CAACAACAAACTCATACTAGACAGCCCCCTTGATCTAACTCAGCAAACCAATTCCTCAAAGACATAGCACAGATGTAGAAATCTTCCTGGAAAAAACAACCCAGGAAGTAAAATGCACAGCACTTGTCAACATGCCAGAGTTTCTTGCCAAACATTAAACTTTTCAGAAAATTAGCCCTTTCTTGGTTTTAGCAGAAAAGTGAAAATAACCATACCAGAATTACAAAAAGTGCTGAAGAAAATTATGATAGTCATATAACTGTCCTGTTTAAAATGACAACAACAAATGTGTGAATTGCCTTTAACATGAGTCTCCATGTAATTTGAAACATACCATTAAAATAGCTAAAATAGTTTTTAAAACAGTAGAAAAAAACAACTAAAGATACACTTAAAAACAATTCAAAATGAACACCTAAGGCAGAGATAGGTTGGAAAAGCTTGTTGAAAGAAAATTGTCTTGAACTGTTTCCATAAAGTGCAGATAGTGGATGTCTGTCATATCTTAACAGAGCTGCTGTTCCACAAAAGAAGAGCAGCTCCCTAGCATTTGGATTAACATTTAACTGGTGACTACTCAAATAAAACTTGGGTTCCAATCTCACATCTATTATGGATTAATTACGTTTCACTGTTAACCAGTCTCAGTTCCTGATCTGTAAAATGGACCACTTCATAGAGCTGGTTGCATTGTTTAGACTGCAGTCACTTGCAATTGTACCTAGCTGTATGAAAAATATACAGTGGTGCCTCGCAAGACGAAATTAATCCGTTCCGCGAGTCTCTTCGTCTTGCAAAGCACGGCTATTAGCGGCTTAGCGGCTATTAACGGCTTAGCGGCTTTAAGAAAAAGGAAACAAACTCGCAAGAACTCGCATGACGTTTCGTCTTGCGAAGCAAGCCCATAGGGAAATTCGTCTTGCGGAACGACTCAAAAAACGGAAAACCCTTTCGTCTAGCGAGTTTTTCGTCTTGCGAGGCATTCGTCTTGCGGGGCACCACTGTAGCAGTTGTTTTAAATTTGGGCAGAGCAATTCAAAAACCCCCTTACGCTGGGTGGAGGTATTTGGATTATTGTTATTTCTGGATGTTTTTAATGTTTGATGTTTTATTATTGTTTTATCTGAGTAGGAAGCTGCCCAGAATGGCTAGGACAACCCAGCCAGATGTTCTCCTTCTCCTTCTTCTTATGGCACAGGAGTCAGTGTGAGTGTTGTTGACAGGATGTTCCAAAATGGGGTGTTCTCAAGGCAGAAGTGGGCATGGGCTGAGCTGGCCCAGGACCCATCTTATTGCTGTTGCACAACAGCATAGAGCTCAACTTCTGTGCCAGCATGGGGCCTGCATGGTGACTGGCCTGCTTCAAGTCATCCGCCTGCCCCCTGCACCTTCTGCCGCAACCGCCATGACCAGCAGGACTACAAGGCCTGATGGCGGGGAGAGTTTAGGATTGGACCCTAAAACTCACCTAGACACTCTTACAGAGTAGATAATGGGCCCATATACAGCAGAAAGACAGACAGACAGAGAGAGAGAACATTTTTAGGTTCTAACGTTTTCCCCCTACTTTCATGAGTTAACCAGTAAGCTTTTTAAAACCTTTTTTGCTCCAGTGCTGAACTTTTGGAACAGATTAGAAAGGAACAGAGAACCTTTATGTGACTATGAGTCAGTTCACCCAGCACGCTAACAAAAGCCTAGTCAAAGATCAGTACCACTAAAAAGCCATATTCTGTTCCTCTATGTCCATTCAAAGCTTGCACTGAAATCAGCAGGGCATGCCCATCTGAAGCAAAAGTTTAGTTTTATGTTATATATGGATAGATAATATTAGCTTTATTCTTGTTTTTAATCCTATCCTAATATTTCAGAAGGAATACTTTGAGTGGCTGTGCTGCTTAGCCCTCTGATTTAAGGGGGCGGTTAAAGCAATTTTTAAGTTGCCGTGCCTTCAAGGGAACTAAATTAAGTTCCAGGCAAGGATTGTGGTTAGAAAGTATATGGCTGATCTACTCAAGTCAGTATACTCTGTGCACCCAACTTTACATGCTATGGCTGCATTAACAATGCTAAACATATTCCTAAACATATAAATATTCCTATATTATAATGATGCTTCATGATAAATTAAAGGAAAAGGGAAAGCTTTTGACTTTCACATTCTCCAGGACCACCTGCCGCCGCCAATATACCTGTGAAATATTCACATTCATAGCTGCCAGCGCTCTAGTACTAGTATATGTATTGCATATTCTGACTAGCAGTGGCTGTCCAGGATCACATGCAACAGTGTTTCACATTGCCTGCTATCTGATGCTTTTAGCATAGCAGGGGGCAGGGGAGATGTCGTCTTCTTTCTCTCCCCCCCCCCCCGAAATGCACCACCTCCTCAAGGTCTCAGTAAGACAATGATGATCCTGCTTCAAGCTAGGGGGAACCCTCAAAAGGAGCAGTCTTATGCAACTTGCCTTACGCAAACTGAGCACTACTGTACTTTACTTTGTGGTTTGCATATGTCTGTCTAGGGAGACAGTGGAATGAGCCTCCGGGGGTGAAGTCAAACTATTGCAGTAGCAGCACTGAAGTGACCTGTGCAATGTGTATCGAGATCCTGGGCTGCCTTCTCAGCCTTACTGGTGTAGTCCAAAGGAAAGCAGAGCTTGGCTGCAGGTGTTGCTTGGAAGGAGGCATATGAGGTGCCATCCAGCTGTTTTAGGGACTCCACTCTGGATTTGTGTAGGGTTTAATCCTTAGCCTTTTTTTCTCCTGAAGATATCTCACAAGGCAGCAGAGGTTTAGGATCGGAGTTTTCCTTCTCCTAGATGGGCTACCTTTCCAGGTTGACGAGCCCCACCTGCCCCTTCTACTACAAGGGCAGAAACCACCTTCTTAACCGTTGTATCCACTATTGGTCTTGTCCACTCAATCTGTTGGAGTTTTTCTTCACATGCAGGGGAAGTCTCTAGCTTACCTTCACCTGGTTTAGCTGGCTAGTTGAAGCCTTTTCCCAGGGTGTTGCTGCTGTCACATGCTGATAGCTACTAGGAGCCACAGGGGAGAGCTGAGTGCAGGGTGGGGACTGAAGATGGACAAACTAACCCAGACGAAGCACGATGTGTCCCCCACAAGAGGGACTTCCCCTCCCCTAACACCTCACACACCCCACTACTTTATTAATAGGGTAATAATGTCAACATTATGAAGTAGTATTTAAAACTGTTCAAGAAGTTAGGGAAGAACTTAATAAGATACTTATAAAGAGAAGCAGGACAACTTAAATGAAATTGACTACAAGCTTTGGTGTGAACACATGAAATTAAGTTTGTATTTGGAATGAAATAGTAACCTTCAGTCTCTGTGCCATTTTTCTTACTGCTGACTAAATATATTACTAATACTGCAATTTGATCTTTTTATACTTAATACACATCAGATATGTTTTAACTGACAGCATGACATCTCTTCTTTGTGAATCTTAAAGGATGTAGCTAACTACAGTGTTATTTGTTTTACTATTATGGGCCATATGCATTTGCATTATTTTTTTCTGTAAAACTGCAGAAAGCATGGATGGATATATACCTAAAGCAATATGTTTACTCATATATATTGTTTTAAATGCTCACATTTGGCACTCATGCTGACTATTAAAGACACAAGTACTACGTTATGAGGCACACTTGCACTAATTCTGAAAAAGGAAGCATTCAAAAGCACTAAAATCTTCCTTACATATTTAATATAGCAGTAAAAGAGCATGTGCTACCACAAGCAATCCTTAACACAGAAAGTAGCTTAACGAGCTAATGTGCCTAATCTGGAAAAATATGCGAGGAATTATGACATCACCAAACAAATGGGCAACCTACTATGGAAAATCAGGATATCTTGCTATGTTAGCCAAACTTGCTAAGAACAACTGTAAATTTTTATTGGCTTAAGCCTCAGTGTAGCTTATAATACATATTTTCCCAGAGAACCAAGCTGATCACAAGGCAACAAAAACATAGTTTTCTCTAAGTATTATTTTATTATTATTTAATAAATGTGTATACTGCTCTATATCTGCAGGTGTCAGGGTGGTTCATAGCATAAAAATACAAAATAAAAAACACAAAATAATAACAATAACAAAATCAAAACAAACAAACAAAACCCTGCTCCCTCCCAATGTCACCAAGAATGTCAAATGATCTGAACATGTTCACATTGACTAACAGGTTTTGTCCTGTTCCCTATATCATATTTATTTAGCAGAATTAGGGCAATGTTCAGAGTTTTCTATCTATCTGTTAGCAAGACCAGCCAACACTATTTGCCCTATGCCACAGTACCTCTCTTGACTTTTAATAAGGCTAGTTCAAACATCATGACCTCTATGTGAAGGTTGCAGAAGGATTGTGGAGGTTTCTGCATGACTGCACTCCACTCAGGGAATGTGACATTTGTAAGTGTCTTGCACAACATGTGATGGCCTGATCTGCATATTCTTGGTGACCATAAATCCTGAAGAGAGAATTCTCCATGCAGTTGAGGTGTCACATATGATAAAAGGGTTACAAATAGTATGCCCATCCATGATAGTCTTCATCAAGGGCTATAACGAAGTGGCTTGAAGGTAATCATTATTTCACACAGATCATGGTGGCTGCCATTTTGAATGTTAACTTATGTGGAGAGAGAAAATGCTCAGTCTGTGAGGAACAAATGGAAGATATTGCAACTTTGAAAAAAAGAGATCTAGACCAGTAATACTTGATTTATGTTTATAAATGTGTTTGGAGTTTTTCAATTTTCAATCTCAGTTCTGAATTTTATGGCATATTATTTTTAATGCTGAATATGTCTGTGACATACTTCTAAAGGGTTTTCATCTTTAACTTTGTTAAACTTTATTTGCAAAATAAAAGTTTCATTTAGCCTCGAGGGGGGAACATACCAGAAGAATGGCAAGCATATCTTACTTTCAACAATGCCAATGAGTGGAAGCATAGTTTTACCTTGAGTTTTTCTAGGTGATCCTGGAGAGAGTCAATCAGCAAATCCCCCACTGGCTGCCAAGAGCCCTTGAGAGCTTCAGCCTGACGTAGTTTCAGGTCCAGCTCATCCATTGCCTCCTGAAGCTCCTGCAGTCTTTCAAGAGCTTCATCTATCTTTTTTTGCCATTCAGTGGACTGTAGATTAAGTTTATCCCATTCTGTTTTGACCTCATCTGCTTGCCTTCGCAAGAGTCGAGTGACATTCTGGGCTCTTTCCTCCAGAGGCAGTTCTAAAAGTGAAGTACAAACAGTTAGATCTTGTATAGACTAACTGTACACAAATGAAAAGAACATTTGAAAGTTATCAGCTATGTTTCATATAAGCACAAATCTGAAAATACCTCTACTATTAATGCCCACTATGCAAACATTGCAAAAGCAGGGCACTGATTCAGCCCAGATCATGACTGCTGCTTTCAAGTAGTCATGTAATCCAGTTTTTCCTGTGCTACTGAAATGGCATATGACTGAACTACTCAGAAACCGCAGTGAGACTGCAGCTGTAAAGTATGAACTGGTTCCAATTTTGAAAACTAGCAAGTTATTTTAGTTTTAAGGTCCCTCACCCTTTTGGAATAATAAGTTGTGTCTCAAGAGATAAGAAATTCTAAAATTGATGTGTAATAAATTGTTCTAAATGCATGGTGAATTTGCACAAAATTGTTTTGCCTCTTGTTGAGCTGCATTCATAAATATGCAAATAGATTACTGAGTGCTTATGTCTTGCTCATCCTCCCCTTTCCCTATCTAGGCTTCCAAATATGTAGGAGATGCCCTGACACTGACAATAATAATTTATGGATCCTTTAGTCATTGCTTATCCCTCTATCAATATGTTATTACAGCTCTACATTCAATTACCTCGAGGCTCCTGGTAGAGCTTTTCCAGTCCCTCCAAAGGTTGTTCTGCTAGGAATAATCTCACTGTTTCAAGTGCACTCGAGATAACAGGTTCTTTAGTTTTCAATTCCCTCTTAAAGGCCTGTAAAATGAAACAATACAAATCTAAACTGGCATGCTAGTTGTTCATTTTGTCAACTTTTTCTACAATGTTTCCTGTATTAATTTCAGCCAAGTTTATGTGCAACAAAAAGGTCAATGACTGAAAGAAACAAGGAAAGGTGAAATAATTTCAGAATTCTTCTTCACAAAATAGACATATTTCCGTTTATGAAATAAAGGCGGGAGAGAAAATCCAGAACACTTCAGGGCTGTTTTATATTCCTCAGACCAGTGAACATATACTGTGCTGCAAATGGGAAGGCACACCGATTAAGCTGTTTCCTGTTACACTGAACCCCTTCTGTGACTAATAGCAGACTTCGTAAACCTTTGAAATCTTGCTGGAAGGGACAAGGTTTTAGGTGGTATTACGTTGAACAGTGCTGGCACAGCTAATGCTGCCTGAGAGGCAAAAGATTTCCTAGAATGTAAAATGAAATTCACAGTGATCCATAGCTGTAACTTTGTTGTTGCTGACAACTTTGTCACAAAAAGTAGTTCAATAGTATGACCATGATAACACTTTGCTCTAAGTGGAAAAATTTACCGTATTTTTCGTCCCATAGGACGCTCCGTCCCATAGGACGCACCTAGTTTTTTTGGGGGGGGAATAAAGGGAAAAAAAATTTCCCTTTATTTCCCCCCCAAAAGCAGGTCGGGGAAACCGAACCAGGTCGAGGAACAGCGGGATGGCGGTGCTGCACCTCCCTGCTGTCCCCCGAGCTTGTGGGGCTGGCCGATGTCTGCCCGGCACGCGGGGCGCTCTGCTTCAGCGGGCCCCGCCCGCCAGGCGGCAGGCTGCTATCCGCAGCGTGGGGAGCCCTGCGGGGAACTCCTGCAGGGCTCCAACACACTGCGGATGTCTGCCCGGCGTGGGGGCGCTCTGCTTCAGGGCGCCGCTTGCGCCGGGCAGCAGGCTGCTATCCGCAGCATGGGGAGCCCTGCGGGGAACTCCTGCAAGGCTCCCCACGCTGCGGATGTCTGCCTGGCGCGAGGGGCGCTCTGCTTAGGCTGTGGATGTGTTCCCGAAGCGTCGGGCGCTCTGCTTTCAGCGCGCCCGGCGCTCCGGGAAGCAGGCTGCGATCCGCAGCCTAGACAGCCCTGCGGGAACTCCCGCAAGGCTGCCTAGGCTGCAGATGTCTTCCTGAAGCCTGGAGAGTGAGAGGGGTTGGTGTGCACCGACCCCTCTCGCTCTCCAAGCTTCAGCAAAAGCCTGCATTCGCCCCATAGGACGCACCCAGATTTCCCCTTCATTTTTGGAGGGGGAAAAGTGCGTCCTATAGGGCGAAAAATATGGTAGTAGACTTGGGCTACTGTCTAAATAAGAATGCTAACTACTAACTGTTCTGCAGCATATATTGAACACTGATATAGATGTATAATTTACTCAGTAATAAAAGGTGAAGGAAAGTATTCTTCTGTACTGTTTTTAACACTTGATTGGGAGCCGCCCAGAGTTGCTGGGGAAACTCAGCCAGATGGGCGGGGTATAAATAATAATAATAATAATAATAATAATAATAATTATTATTATATTATTATTATTATTATTATTATTATTATTATTATTACCGTCATAGACTCTATTGCAGTGTATAGTGAAACTTAATGGTAGTAAGTCATTTTATGTTCAGTGGATCTTACCCCCAGATACGTGTGCACAAGATTAAGTATTATTGCAAAATCCTACACATATTTTCTCAGAACAAAATTTCATTGTGCTCAGTGTAGATTACTCCTTGGTAAGCATGCATAGGATTGCAACCTTACTTTCTTAGAAGCAGGTTGCTCGAATATTTACCTGCTTCTTGTGCACTCCCTAGCTTTTATACAACTTCACAAGCTCATCGAAAAAACCTGGGAGAGAGAGGAAATCCCAGTAGACTTTAGGGATACCAAAATCATCACTCTTTTTTTTAAAAAAAGGTCATAGAACAGACTGCCAAAATTGTCAAGGCATCTCTTTATTAGATGCAGCCAGCAAACCGTCTCCTAACTATATCCGAGGAAACCCTTCCTGAATCCCAGAATGGTTTTTGACCTTCTGTGAGAACAGTGGATATGATTTTCACTGCTCAACAGCTTTAAGAAAAATGCAGAAAGCAAAACCAACCCCTATATATGGCATTTATTGACCTGACTAAGGCCTTCAACACTAAATCGCACTGCCCTGTGGACTGTCTTCTGAAAATCAACTTTACTGTACACTTGCAAAACATGGACTACTTATAAATGCCATCTCGAACTCCTTGAAAGATTCCATCAGCAGTGTCTCCGAAAAAAATTACACATCACTTGGGAAGACAGGCGAACTAATACCAGTGTACTGGAAGAAGCAAAGCTCACCAGTCTCAAAGCAATGATTCTTCAACATCAACTTCATCAGACTAGTCATGTTATGCGGATGCCTGATTATTGTCTTCCAAAGCAACTACTCTATTCCAAACTTAAAAATGGAAAGTGTAACGCTGGTGATCAACAAAAGAAGTTCAAAAACTCTCTCAAGGCAAATCTAAAAAAATGTAGTACAGTCATACCTCGGGTTGAATATGCTTCATGTTCAGCGCGTTCGAGTTGTGCTCCGTGGCAACCCGGAAGTAACGGAGCGTGTTACTTCCGGGTTTCACCGCTCGCGCATGCGCAGACGCTCAAAATGACGTCACCCGCATGCACAGAAGTGGCGAAAAGTGACGCGTGCATCCATATACATGCCATCGCTAGTTACGTTTGCTTCTGGATGTGAACGGGGCTCCGGAACGGATCCCATTCGCATCCCAAGGTACCACTGTATAAACACGACCACTGGGAAACACTGGCCTGGTATACAAACTCAAGTGAGATAATTATTTTCAAAACTGTAAAGCATGATGTTATGTCCCTTCTCCATGCTTTTATTTGGGGTTCTAATGGAAATGGAGTATGCGAAGCCATTACACAGAAATAGCCTAAGAAGCTGAAGCTGTCAAAAATCTAGTGAGTCTACTTCCCCTTTGCTAAACTGTTCTTGCAGAGAACATATTTTCCTATAATTCATCCTACATGCAGCTGCGACTCTTAAGCCCTTCATCCTTATACTTCATCCTAATACTTTTTGTCCCCAGTCTGGAAATGTAAGGTCAGTTACAGCAAAAGAATGTTAAATCAGTGTCACTAATTTGTCAGCGTTATACTTGGACAGGCCATTCCTGCTGTATTGTTTTTCTATACTAGGATCCTTTTCCAAATTGTATATTAATTCAACTGTAGTGGCTACTATTGATGCCTTTAATTGCCAATGAATGACTTTTTTTTTTTAAAAAAAAAGTTTACTAACAGAATTTATAATCATAGCTTCCTGACAATTTCATGCCAAAAGAAAGCTGACTATCATTGATAACAAAATTAGCCCAAATGTATGGCTAATTTACAACCAATGATTTCAGGCTAATTTTATTGAATTCCTGAACTTCTTCCACAGTTTGTGGTGACTGCAGAGGAAATCGAACACACATAATATATGACCTGCCAAAAGAACAAGTAAACTACTTTATTTAAGCCCTTCTATTTGTCATGAACACCTGGGCTATAATGGCATTCTGCCCACTATCTTAATAATGCATACATTGATTTGCTCATCTCAAACCGTCACTAGGATCTTGTAGGGCTCTCAAGGGTGACTTTAAATCTCTTCAACTAGAAAAGAAGACACCTCCAACTAGGAAAGAAGACACATTCAAATGAGTGATGAAGGTAACAAAATAGGAAGCTATGCTTTAATGACAAAAGCATCCTTTCTGTCGGGGATGTATTCTTTTGATACTTTATTTTAGTGGAATTTGAGAAAGTAGTAGTAAAATGGATTTAAATTAACTTTTCTTTTAGTACCTCACTTAAATTTTTTATTTCCCCATCTGAACTATGTTTAGCATTGTCAAATGAAAAGAGAACATTGTTACTTAAGGACATCCCATAATAGACCCAAAACTACAAATTTCACCAAGGAGAAAGAAAACAGTTCTAGGTTTGGGGAGTTTGGGGAACTTGAGGGTCCAGGGCATTGCTGTTGTTTTTGGGTACTGATGAAGCTTCAGGGCTGCATTCTCTCTCTCTCTCTCTCTCTCTCTCTCTCTCTCTCTCACACACACACACACACGTTACAAATGCCACATGTTTCCAGTACTATCCTAAGAAAACTGACACTGAGTTGGTTCACATGAGATGTTAACCAACCTATGGCTTACCAAAACTGCACAAACATATAAGCTCCTCAAGAGGAACCAACAGCCAGAGAAGTTGTGGTTAAGCTTCCTTCCTACTAATCACAAGCTGTAGCAAAGAACTTACCCCAACCAGGTTTGGACAACACAGTAAGCCAAACCTTGGCTTAGATCAGGGCAGCATGGTTGAAAAAAGGACTAAGGAGGAGCTTCACTCCACAGTTGTGCCATCTCAATACATCTAGTTGGCTTGTGGTGTACAAACCAGACCATTGCAAAACTACTCTGGGAACTTCCCACTTGAAGAAGAGAAGTGCATGAAAGGTATTTTTTCAATAACTGCCATTTCATTATTTTTGGTGTGTATACAAACTGGCTAACCCTCAGTTTGTGGGCTTGCTCCAGTCCCCTCAGGCCAATTTTATGGGGTCCTGAGACCCCACTAATGCTTGTGGCAATGACAAAAAGGTGAAAAAACAGAAACAGAAGCAGCCCAGTGACATGATGAGGATGCAACCTGCTGCCTCCACAGTCATCAAACATTTTTTCACTGCACCCACAGCTTGCATGTGGCCCTTGGAGGGTGAAGAAACTGAAATTGTATTGTAGGGATTGCAAAGGGCGGTCTATTTAAGCATTAACAGATGTGTCAATACGGAAAATTTATAGGGCAATACAAGGTCTCCTCAGTTCAGAATATATACTGGGGTGGGGAAACAGAAAAGTACAAATAAAAATCTATCAAAGGCAACCTTAAAGCATGTCTTACTTTCCACCCTTTCCCCCTAAGAGACTTTTGAAGAATAGACAGGATGACCTAAATTTGAGGATTATCTTTTGTTCTTTTTGTTCCACAGGGAACCAAAGTGCCAGTAACTAGATAGGTCTTACATTCTGCTATAAAAGTTCTGCTGCAAGGGGTGTGTATGTGGGGAGCTTTTACAAACAACTGAATGGTGGATAGCTTTGATAATCAAGAAGAAGCATTATTGTGACCACAACATATGGATCCCTGTAGGTGTGACAGAAAACAGAAGCACGTTCAATGCTTTTATAAAGTCAGACATAAGATTTGGTTTCTGACAGCATGCATTTCTACAGCATTTCTTACTCCCCAAGGCATTATGAACTTAACACTGATATCAAGACTGCAAGGGATCAATGTGGCATGGGGTTTGCAAAGTACTTAATTCAGAGATGTCCTAAAATAATCCCAGAGACTTAAATGGTGCGTCAGTGAGACCAATCTAAAGTAAGTAGATATGGCGCATGACTTTGAGCCTTAATGACTGCATGCCCTCAACTTTGAGACAGATTGAGACAGCTTTATAAACATTATCAATCATTATATAGTCATACTGTGACACTAAGGGACACTAGCTAAAAATGTCAAACATTTATAAAAGGAGAGGTTGCACAGAAGAATTAGTTGTCCGCAACCTAATAGTGAAAATGTTACCAGGAAAGTAATTTCTTTGGGGTAGCTGCTTTATTAGTTTCTGTTTTATCTTTCCTTGCTGAGAAAAATTAGAGTTCTGAAGGAGGATAGGATAAAGGAGGATAGGATAAATCTGGATTTCTTTATTACACCCAACCTTTCTAAAGGCAGTATCACACGTTACATTCATCACTTTCAAAAGTAGCCATGAGTATGTTGGGCTTGATTGTAGGGGATTCTGAAGGTCTCCCAGGAACAAACAAGAATATGAAGGGAATTCGCAGGAAACATAACAACATAAGAAGAGCCTAGTGGCCCGTCTGGTCCAGCATCCTGTTCCTACAGTTGTCAACCAGGCAGGACATGAATATGGCAAGCAGGACATGAATATAAGAGCACTCTCCCCTTCTGTGGTCTCCAGTAACTGGTATCCAGAAGGATCAGAGGCTCTTCCTACGTAGGAAGTGCATAGCCATCATGGCTAGTAGCCATTGATAGTCTTCTCCTCCAGACCTATTTGATAGGAAGCAGGAGCTACTGGCCACCTTTGTTGTATGCTTTTTCTATTTCTCTTTTAGAAGAAAACTCTCCCTACAGGTTGAGAAAGATAGGAGCAAGTACAATTGGATACTAAAGGAAACATAAGACAAACAGAGAAATATGTGCCCCCGCCCAGCTATCTGATGCAGACATAACATTGGTGATATCTAAACAGAATGTTAAACTATGGTTTATTGCTATGTGATATAGCCTAGGCTCCTGCACTTTCCCCTTCTTCCTTCCTTCCACGTGGCCAGAAAGTGAAGTTTTTGCTCTTATTTAATTGTAGCTCTTTGATCTATTCAACAAATTTATGGATTGTGGTTTAACACTAGCTATGACTAGGGGTTTTTTTAAGCCAATTTCCAATCATTTTTAATCATTCCTAACCTTCTATTAACCTTCTCCAAACAGACCCTACAATGCACTGCAAAAAACTGATTTTGAATGTCCATACCCGATGGGTGTCATTCTGTTTTTGCACTGTGGGAAGATCTCCACCAATGGGAGCCTGTCGCTTTAACTCATCTTCTTTCAACTGCAGCCATGCCAAAAGTTCCTGAAGAGAAAGGTGTAGTCGTCTCCACTGGTCGGAACTGGCTTCTAGATGAGACCTGGAAAATAAATTAGTGTATTTATAATTTTCAGGAACTGTTCAGACTTATCTTAAGATCACACCGTCTACCACTACTGGAGAGCACGCCCATGCTGCCCAGGCCACAAATTAATACATTATGCTATTACAAACATGCTGGCCTATGCAAATCACTGTATCAGGCTACCAGCAGATAAGGTAGTAGTAGAGACACTACCCATGCTGCTGAGAAGCCAGGTTTCTTCGTCCATCAACTGGCAGCTGCTATCCCATGAGGCTTTATCAGAGGAGGGATAGAAGGAGTGTAGCACTACTCTATCAGCACTGTTGAGAGACCAGCAACTTTTGGCTCCTCCTCTTCTTGAACAGTTTCCTTCTTAGGAAAACATTAGAAGAATGGGCAATCAATAACTAGCATGTAAGCTTGCTACCTTCCACTCCATTTTTCTGTGTCAGGTCTTTCAAGATTGTAAGCCTGATGGCAGTGTCTGTATTTTATTGACGTGTAAAACTCTCAGGAAGCCCATTTCAGCTAACGGGTGGGTTAAAATTCTAACAATAACAACAAGTGGAACATTTATTTGTATAAGATCCTGCACATATAGTACCCACTGCACAATGACATTATCTGTAGAATCCATACTGATTTTGTAATGTATGGATTCCTATGACAAGAGATTAGTTCCAGTGCAGAAATGGAAAGAACAGGGTGTGACAGTGTGGTTTTGACCCCACACTACACAGTGAATTTGAGGATTTTAAGAAAATACTGCTTAGAGGATTACAGATTATAATGACAAAGAATTCCATATTGCGTTCCTGGATGTCAATAACAAAATTCTCTTTCATTTTAAATGGTAAGAATTGCATTCAATCTCTTGCCTAAAATTCACTACTATAAACTCTTATTCAAGCCAAAAACCTACATTCAAAAAAATAATAATATAACTGATGTTTCCATCCTTTGAACACTAAGAAGGTTATAAGTGTATCTTTTATTTGAGTTTGCTATTAAAAGTAAAAGGCTGAGCTTTGCAAGCAAAAAGTGCTGAAACAAAATATACTGTATACTAGTATAGTGATTAAATAAGGTGGATTATGCACAATAAATTAGCACATCAAATAGCTCTGAAACAATAGGAAAACTTTAAAAAGCAAGTAACCCATTCAGGGCTGCCAGAATTACAAAATTCAGGTGTTGTAATTTGTATATTATTTATCTCAGATGGAGGTGATCAGTATGATAACAGTTTAAATTTGTTGTTGTTACAAATGACTTCTTCCACTTCTCAACTGCAGGACATGAATTGTTCCCAATTGAAATGAGACTGAGTGCTCCTATTATGAGGAATAAGGATCCAACTCTTTTTTTCTGCCTCCCACTTTCTTGAGAAATAAAGATTTAAGCTTTAGCTGTGTTTCCCACCTACATGTTGTGGCTATACTAAACCCCTCATTATAGTTAGTGTTTCTCCAGTGCAAGAATGTTCTTTTATGTTTAATTCAAGAAGACAAAGCAACCATGATAAACCAGGGTTACTATTTTCAAATTCATTAATGTCACTGGTATCAAAATGGCAACAAGTGAACTATAGAAAAGCTCCTTTATTAAAGGCTAACATGCCGTGTTTCTTTCTTGTACCTCTTTATTTTACTAAGTTCATGGGTTAAAAAAAGGACATGTGAAGAAATATTTCAAAGAGCTATATTCCTTTCCTTATGGCTTGCCTATAGGGAAGATCATTTTCTTCTTACTTCAGCCATCAATATTTTTCAGGTTCACATATTTATTTTTAATGACTAATGTTATGAAGATGGTTTCTGTCATTACACACGCACACAGACTCCTTCAGGGCTACAGCTGCACAAAGCTAATATTTCATATATAACTTTGAAAAGGCTTCTGCCTTTGGCCACCCCTGAATCTCACCTATATACAGAGTACAAACGGGCAAAAAAAGAGTGTCTGAGAAGACTGCCTTGGAGGTGGAGAATTTGTTATAAAACACTGAGATGGTTACTTTAGATGAGAATTTTTCAGCTCTTTGAGCTTTGCTTTTCCAACAGTTCTTTTGTAACATTGCCCTTTATTATGTGTCCCCCTATCCAAGAAGGCAATTTGCGTCTTTCTCCTTTAAGATTTTACAAACTCGATTCTGCATCTCCCATGGGAGGAATGTTCATTGGGCTGGAGTACATGCACACCTGCTTGAGAGAAATTTTCACTGACACCCATGCTACATATTTACAGTAGGTGAGTTTAGGGGTGTTTCCCCCCCCTGCAATTTATTGTTAACTAAGTGTTGCTTAGGCATGTAAGCTTTGAGCAGTGTCATCCTCATCTAAATACTGGCCCTTACTATTTTCTCATTTAATCCTGATTTTACCACTGTGCAGAAAAACTGGTAAAATAAGAAAACATCATGGAAAAAGTAAATCTGGCTTAAACGAGGGTTAAAAAAACCCCATATGGGGTGGCAATTTGATGAACATGATGCCATGTGGACACTATGAAAGACTTGCATGCCTGGGCAGCATCTAGACCACAGTAAAGTGCTATGCAGAAGCAGCAGGTGTCAAAGCTTTGCCCATGTCAGTCCTTCTGCAAAAAATACCCAATTACAAGTGAAGGCATTCAGATTTCTGTTCAGAAACCATTTCACATATAAATGCCAAAACAACTGCATTAGCCATGATTAAAATAAGACATGTATAAGGCATCAGGTGTGGAAGTGAAGCTGTCTGATTTCCCCCCCTGCAGTGGCTCACATTTTCCCAAAACCAAGTTACAACCCCCACAGCAGGTTGTCTCTTCTGTAGTAGGAGCTGCTGCAGATAAACGTTCAAAGGAAGTTCCAATTACACATATGATGATGCCCTTTCTAAACATAATCAAGCTCTTTTGATTTCATATCTTATTTGGTTTGGGGGTATATGGGTATATGGCAAATACAGTATATGCATATTTAGTTGGGAGTAAGCTCAACTGAACCCAGTGAGGGTTACTCCTGAGTAAAAGGAGATAGGATTGGGCTGTGTTTCATTATATTTGTTTAGAACAGCGTGAGAAGCCATGTCTGTCAGTATAAAATAATAGCATACATTTCAGAGAAAGTGTGGTTGCTGGTTAAGCATGCTTAATCTCTATTTGTACATTCTTATTGAGATTATAAAAAACTCATCAACTTCCTTGCATCCTTCAATCCCTTACGTATAAAGAAAATTAATCATTCTTACACAGTAATTCAGTGCTTGAAATTGCTTAAATTACTGCCAACCAGCCATTTTAGCCCAATTTGAACAAAATAATGCTATAAGAGGGGGGCAGGATAATTCTTTCCTCAGATTAATTCCCATATCTCCCCTCCACCCTTGCCCTTTGAGCCCTACCTAACATTTAGAGATTTTTTCCTAAGTTCACTCCATCTGAAGTTCATGTTATCCAGGCGTCTCTGCAACAAGGCTGCATCATCAGAACCTTCCAAGGATCTCAAGATTTTCTGTCCATTTTCATCCAGGCTGTGGAAGATATCAGTATGGGTTTCAATTTCTTTCTGAAGTTCCTATGAGGCAACACAGAACAAATACATAAAACACTGGCGAAGAAATATGCTAGGGATAAGTTAACAGAAGACATTAGCAATAAAGGTATATTTTGCAAACTCAAATGAAAATAACACTGATTCATTATCAATAGTGTTTTAGAATAACTAAAACATTCATGTTCCCAATATAAATTAATCACTTTGAATATATATATATATATTTAAATTGTTCCTTTACTTTATGTTATTCATTCCTAATGAAAAATAAACTCTTCTATATACTATAGACTGTGTGGTGGTAATAATAATAATAATAATAATAATAATAATAATAATAATAATAATTTATTTATACCCCGCCCATCTGGCTGGGTTTCTCCAGCCACTATCAAGCTAGGCATGGTAATATTATTTTATACTGGCATGGCACTGTATTAGTCAGAGAGAACTATACATTTCAAAACGCGCAAAAGCATTTACAGTTATCATTGGGCTCTGACGTGTGCCAGGGAGGCAACAATTGGTTATGTCATCATGCCGGTGAGAATAAAAACAGAGACACCAAAACCCCTCAGGATCCCAGCCAAATCTGACCTTTACATGGTATGTCTTCCTGTGTAACATTTTCAACTTGAACCAGAGGCTTCAGAGCAGGTCTTGCTGAACAGAAATCCAAGGAAAACTAAGCTACTGCAACAGCAGAGCTTTAAAATGCCAAGTTCAGTTACATTCCATTGACAGAATGCATTTCAGAGCACAGGCCTCAACAGTCAATAGTAATAAACAGTCACTTTGTACTATGTCAAAACATCAGTCAGGGCCATGGCTGTAGGAGGAACGGAGAATAGCCAGAAGGACCCAGAATGCACAACTGGCAGCTTATGCTGGACTGCCAACTTTTCTTATCACTTTGGAATTGCAAGCCAGAAACTTTTTAAATATTCATGTTTCCCCTTCATTTTTAGCCAGGCAGCAACTGCCAAAGGAACATTCTTTGGAGAGCTAACTGCCTGGTACTCACATTCCGATCTGCCTACATGCTGAATGGAGTCTTTGTGTATTATCTATCCCACACTGTGATTTCTAAAAAATATTTTAGCTCCATGAACTTATAGATTTATTCTGGGGGTCAACGCTGCCTGCTCATTAGAATCATCTTATATACAAAAATAATAAAACTATTTCTTTCAAAGTTAGAGGGGAAGTGTTGGAGCTGTCAGCATGCTGGCTGTGAGCAGTCCTGGATTAATAATTCGCCACTTTATACAAACAATACCTTATGTCCGTGAATTAAAAAATATACTGCACAGTGTTTCAGTAGTAGTGGTGGTGGTATTCTTTGTTTAATTTCTTAGTTGCCTTTCTCAAAAATTGGCCACAACAGCTTACAGAAATGTAAAATGCTGAGTTTAAAACCAATACTAAAAGCATGCACGCCATGAAAATTAATAAAATTAAAAACTGCAGAAGATATGGAAAGAGGAATAACTTGTGCTATTTTCAGTTAAACTCATTGCTGGGTAATAGGTGTATGAGGGTTCACTGGCAAATTCCTGTTTGGTCTTCCTTTGCTAGTGGAATAAAGATTGAACTGTTAATTAAAATGTTATTTATTTATTTAATATTTGATTTGCAGACTAATGTGACAACCTCCAAAGTCAAAGGTTCTGTGTGCACTGTAGAAGTGAACTGCTTCCGTATAAACGACATATCTTCAAGGTTGATGCAAATATAGCTAAGCATGCCTATATGGTAAGAGTTTGGGTTCAACTCTATAAACATTTGCACTAGCAAAAGAACATAAACGGATGTCCTCCCTTTAATTTTGATACTGTTCTTTGTGGTAACTCTTCTCCACATTTTGCTCCGCCTGCTTTCAAATTGGCTTATGTCCAGTTTGCTACAATTTTCCATTTATGTCTCCCTCAACCCCTTACTGCTTACACAACACAGTGTTGACTACAACACTGAGGACTCTTGAAGCAACTTCATGCATACACTGATTAAACTGCAGAAAACAAATATGTGCTCGTGTAAACTGCTCTTACTGAAAGGGATGGGAAACTGTGTCAAGCTGTACATGCACAGCATCCTGAACTCAGTCCAAAAATAAAATAATAATAATGGAAGAGTGCTGGATCATTAATGCACTTCAGAAACTAGTTGAGGATCACAGTATTTCTTTTCATCTCTCAGTCAGTACAATGCTGCAGGCTTTATAAATGTCAATGAAATAATCAACATTGTTTCATGTGGTAACTCTTCACTTCTTTAAGTTGCATGTTTACCTGAGGATAAGTCCCATCAAAATGAGTGGAGCTTATTTTTTAGTAAGCATGTATAGCGGGTGACTCACTCAGAGGTAAGACTGTGCAGAGGCCTGGTTCATGTCACCTTTCTGCTCTCCTCTTTGAGGGGGAAGAAACATGGGAGCCAGGCCTTTGCACAGAGATTACACTTCATACAAGATTCTATCTGTGCTGTGGCCTTCCACAGAGATATGTTCAAACGTGCAAGCAAAGCACCACTTTGGGAATATATCAACTGGGGCTGAGTTTACAATAGGACATTCAAATCAAATGTCACCAGGCCTGAAAAATCACCTTGTGGTAAGTGCATCACTTTGGATGCCACCTCACTGGCTTGTCAGCAACCACTCTAATAAGAACTGTACAACCGATTGAAGCAATATTTGAGGCTTTATAAAAGCAGCAACAACGACAGTGAGAAAAAATACATTCACACCCTCAGTCACTTCAGACTAATCTCAAGATAAAATTACACAAAATGCTGTTACTTCTTTGAAAAAGATTCTACATCAAGATTAATGAGGCCTAGCAAAGCTTTTTTAGCTAGATGTTGTGGCAAGTGTGAAACTCTCCAGGGAAACCCAAACATAAAAAATGCATTAACAAATAACTTTTTCAGAACATGGTCACACATAAATCTGACCACATGAAAATCCATTAACACTAGCTACACTGAGGAAAAAGGAAAATCACCGACATATAAAATTCATTCTCAGAATGTTTATGTACTACTTATAGTTGACCTGATAGCTATGGCCCTCCTCTGCTAATCAATCAGTGGCTGGACAAGACCTTTATTGTCTTTCTTAAAAAGAAGAGGAACAGGAAACTTCTAAGTCCATCCAAAACCAACCAACTCCAGTGCCACCTAGTGATTCAATCTTATAATGATACAATCCACATATTTTCCTCTTAATTAAAGGGTTGTTGTTGTTTCATTACAAGGAAGAACAGTTAAGCTTTGTGGAGCTTTGTGGCGAGACATATGCTATGTCGTTTCCCCTAGAAAACTACATAGCATTCTCAATGCTAACCAGATGCCTATGGGAAGTCTGCACAAAGAGACACGATTCCAAGAGTACCCTCTCAACTTGTGCTCCCTAGCAACTTGCATTCAAAGGCATATTAGCTGTGATACTGGAGGTGGAACACTAGTTTGCTTCACTAATAGATATCCTAAACAAAGTCCCCAGGTGTCTGTCACCTGTGTTTCATTCTGGCACACATAAGTCATGTAGTTCTAGATTTTTTCCCACCAGAGCGTCACTGATTTGCAGGATAGCTTATCAGAAATAAGAAAGTAATTGATGTCAAATCACATATTATAAGGACTATATGAAAAGTGACATATGGCAGCACACCTTAATTATTTTCTGACAATACCTATGAGGCTGATCAATCAATTTCATTTTTTTAATATTAAAGAGGACCAAGAACACTTCTAATACTACATTTAGAAGAACTGTGTGCCGTATATAACAGTACAATTAGAGATGCATGCTTAACTCAGTTTAAACTGGTAAAATAATTCAACTAAAGCTTTTCCAATTAATTAGTGGTTCTATTGTGTTGGAACAGAGAAGGTATAATAAGGTATTAAACAAAGTGATAGCTTTTGTTTATTGAATTATAAGCTATTTTGCACTTCTGTAAATAAATAAATAGGCATTGCTACTAAATTTGATAAATTGGTTCAAATATGATTGATTGATCAATCATCTAAATTATTTAATTAACTGAGTAGCCTTATGTATAAACATAAACAAAGGCATTAAGACTGAAAGGAAACAATGACACCAGTATTTATTATCAAGGGCTATGCTGCTATTTTTCATTTACAATGTATGAGTGAGTTACATCTGCTCTGGAATATTCATGCTGACTAAGTACCACCCAGAGAGGTTGCGTGTGCCTGATTCTCATCAAGTTTCTAAGGAGACTTAACTTTTCAGTTTGTCCCACTGAGCAGTTCACGCAAATGTATATTTCCTATTGGGTCCTCTTTGGCTTTGTTAGCAGGTCTCTTCTCAAAGCTGTTTGTCTATACGGTATATCTATACACCAGCTCCTCTATGCACTTCAATTATCTGTTGAGTCATTCCAAAATAAATGAATGATTTATTAATTTATGAAGAATGCATTCTTATGGTCCATGAGAGAGTCTCCCTAGGGGCCACAGGATTTTGCTGATATGCCCAGAATTAAATTGTAGGTGGAGCAGAAGACACTGAGCTCATCGTTGAATGGCAGTGGCTCAAATAACAGATTTCAGGAAAATGCATAAAATGCCTACTAGCACTTCTCTGAAATTATACTCTCAAACACAATGCAACTCAGTAAAAAACAAAACAAAAAGCTAATCTAGATATAGCTGTAGCCCACATCGGCATGCAGGCTGTACAAAAATTCATTCTAGAGCTGCTTTATCTGATACTCTATTGTTCTTCATTTTAGCAAGCTATGTTTAGTGCAAGAGAATCTTTTGTTTTATGAGAAGAAAGATATATTGTAGGCCTTTCAAATCACTTGACTAAAAACATTTTTTCTTCTGCTCTGTAAAAGATATCAACATTTGTATGATATAATGTTAACATATAACATAAATCTTAACCAACATAATATAATCTCAAAAAATGCATGCCAGTAGAAAGTGTATTTTAGGACAATGTATGCAACAAAAAACGGGCGAATTTAACTTACTGTTTGCCTGGAGTCATAAGAAATATATCAAGAGCTGCAGATTAAAGACCCCCCCCCAACAATGACTAAAAAAAAAAATGCCATAGAATGCAACATTGCCTCATAAGAAGTCCCAGGAAAACAAAATAAAGTATGTCACTATTATGTGTTTCCTATTGCAGTGAAAATGCTCTTTTCTTCTCCTAGTCCATCAGTATAACATTTTGGGGGGTTTATCTCAACAACATTTACACAGCAATTTCCATAATGATAACATCTTTTCAATGAAATGTTAAATGCAATTAAGGGGCAGATATTATGTGTTAAAAGCTTTGTTGTGAAATGGCTATACATCATCATGTCATCAAGCCTCTTTTCCAACCAGTCTATGGCATGACCTCAATTCCAGTTTGGTATGATTACATTGCAGAGTTTCATGTTAATGACTTGATGAGAAAAGATAGATAAAATTGTATCTCTCTCCTGCAGAGATAAGCCTATGAATATTGCTAAAACATTTCCAGGATCGAACACCATTTTAAAAAGATAACAGAAGATGAAACACATCTCCAGAAAAAGAAGCAACTGCTGACAGGTGAAAGCTAAAAGAAGAGCCTTTCAAAGATGATCCCTGAAATCTTAGAAGCTATTGTGATTTCAAATAAAATTGTTGAAGAACTAAATGGATTAGACTCTAAAGAAAAAGAAAGGGCAGCTCAAACATGGTGGTAAAGAGATTTAAAATAAAGGAAATGAAAAAGTCATATGCATCTGTACATTGCTCCAACCCTTCCATTTCTACTCTCCCTGCCATCTGTGTCCTTGGAATCACATTGTGATACGACCTTTCATTGCCTTTGGGAGACACTGCATTGATTTCTTTTTTAATCTAACCCAACTAATTTTTAATCCCATAACTTCAAAGATCAGGTCTCAATGCTGCCTGCTGTAATGGGAGAGTGCATGACTTGACTTTTCTTTGGTTCGTTCTGATGGAACAAGGCATCAGTCTTGCTTGTGTTGCATTGTGATATCAGCCCCTCTGTGACCCTTACTCTTGCTTGCGACTCTTCCTGACTCTATAAATTGAAAGGAGGCAAGTATTGATAAGTCATCCATGTGATACTTGGGAAAACTCCCAAACTAATAACTGTCAGTTTCCACAGAGAACATATTTCCTTTAAACGGACACTGATGTTAGCCCAGACATAATTTATGCCATTTTAGAATTAGCAAGGCAAAGGTTATTTACTCCAAATGCAGAAACTTAACACTAGATAGCTCATGGACACAAGATGGCAATCATTAGGCACATCCGGCAGGAAAGTTACTAACTTTTAGTTCAAAAAGAATAATTTATTTTCCCATTTCACACCATTACTGCTGCTCCTATTTTACATGCACACCCGAGATGCAAAATTTAATTCACGATTGATGTTTTGAGTAGTTTAACTAGCACATAGTGGCTCCAACAATCTTCGACATAATCAACAGCACTCTCAAGGAACAACTGTAATGCTCCATTGGACATTGGACTAAGGAGGACTAAGTGAGATTTCTACTGCCTAATCGTTCATTAGGGAGAACCTAGCTTTCACAGCCCTTGGGTTCTGATCACCTTTCTATTCACTCCATTGTGGGACTGCTCATGAGAACAGGGAAAAGTTATTTGTTTCTATCTCAACCTTCCAAGTCAATAACTAATGTGAACCTCACCCACTTTTGCTATTGCTAGGGTCTTAGTTACTTAGATCAGGAGTGTGAATATCTTAGTCACGTGCAGCTGTGATTTTATATATGATCATATGCTTCCCACATCTATCACTGTGAAATTACTTTATGTATACTTTCTTGTAATAAGCAACATCTTTTTAATAAGTCTAGTGTGATTGTATGGAGCTTGGAAGGCTCCTGGGTAAAAGCCTTCAGTCACTGGGGAAAGAGGTTGGAACCATTTCCTTACTCCAGCTCCTTGACTACTGTGCTCCTTTGCTGTGAACCTGACTTCCCTGTGTGTGACCTTGCACTTTAACTGGAGTTAGCCTATTTAATTGAAACCCCTCCCCTACAAAAAGCCCCTGACTTTGGAGCATGACCTGACCTCACTCTCTGGATCATCCTGCAAGTGGACTGGGACTCTGGGCATCCTTGTCCCCTGAAGTAGGACAAGTGACCTAGACTTTGCTGGGGTCACCAAAACACAAACACCTTTGTTTCTCTCTAAGGGCTTAGCAGCCTGAATGGTTGGGGAAGTAAACTATGTTGGGTTCAATTTAAATACATACTAAGCAGATAATCCTTAATAAAAGAGTTATGACGATCAAGTCACTCATTTTATTACTGGAAGGAGCAAGGTAATAAATTCACATGTACTCTCGGTTTTCTAATTCCTTATTTTAACATTTGCCAAAGATGAAACAGTAGCAACACAGAAGCAGCATAATTCGCAGTAGGAACATTTGCTTCTTCTTGGCTGCTCAGGTAAGGTCTTGATGCCTATTTTCAATGCCTTGCAAAGTCCTGCTGGATAATTTGGAGAGCAGCTACCTCTATTAGTTCCACTCACATCCCACTGCTTCCAATTAGTTCTGATTTTCTCTTACAGCAAGCAGCCAGAAGGGCTGAACTGCAAAACTGCTGGAGAGAATATTTTAGCGGGGATGAGGGAAGAGCTGCTTCCCTCCTGCTTCTGTTGTAAACAATGAAATCTCCTGATTCTTCCTACTGTTTCATTGCCTTTTACTGGAACAGCTATTATAACTGAAAACACAAAGGCTCATAGGTAATACAGACAACACTGAACAAATAAGTGAATAAACATTTATGATGTTTATTGATTTGCTTATGTATAGCAGAAATCAGAGGAGCATCTGAAAAAAAAAATGCTTCTCCCAGTGATCTGTACTAACTAATACCCAACATGTTCTGAACATTATTTATTTATCTTAAAAAAAATCTATACCACTCCCGAATCATGTTTCTAGGGGTTCACAGTGTATACTGACAACAAACAATCGTTTCAAAAAGTATAGAACCATGAAATGCATAAAATGCACAATTATTTTCTTTCTGTGTCTTTTTAATTTTGATGAAACAAACGATCTCTCTCTTTACTACAGTGCAGAAAAAACTTAGCAGTTTTATGGTGCTAGCACATTTGCAAGGCTAAGCAGAGTCCAGTATGGTTTCAAATTGGATAGGGACCTCCCTTTTTGTTCATACTAGCTTTAGAACCAATAGCTATGTGCATCAGAAGAACACCAGACATTAATGGAGCCCAAACTGGAAAACAAAACTTTATGACTATGTGCTGATAATTTAATGATTCTGACACTTGACCTACTGAACATAGAAGCAGCAATACTTCGAGAGCTTAACAACTTTCAACATTCTCAGGCCTCCAGGTTAACTACTGAGACTTTATGCTTTAATATACCATCCAAGATCCACTGTCCCCACTGATACCCACTATTTAACAACACTTCGCAACAATTCAATGTGGCTGGATGGACGCGGGGGAGTCTATACAAGTTATATGACTTTTATAAGAGAAATACATCACTATATAAACTTCCTTGTAAGGAAACTTACAACCCCCTTGGGTACTCGCCTACCAAATCCACACTAATAGACTTTGGACCAACACCCCCTCCCCTTTAAGTCTATTTCGGCAAGCAATAGAGAATTAACCCTAAAACTCATATATAGGTGCTACCTAAACCTTGGAAAATGGCCATGAGCCACCCTGGTGACCCATCATGTTGCTGGAGAGGCTGCCCTACACAGTACATATCTCTACACGTGGTAGGAATGTATAAAAACCTAGACTTTCTAGAATTTGATACTCTAAGAATTCAATAAAATAATGAAGCAATTGGAAGTCAAACCAGAATTAGCTTTATTAAATATATTTCAAGACAACCACCTGGATTTACATAATGAAGAATTAATAAGCTATTTATTACAAGCAGCGAGGCACAACAGAATCAGACACTGGAAAGATCTTTCTGGAACAACAAAAGACAACTGGGACAAAACAGCCCTCCTCAAGAGATTAACAAATAAACTATGTCTGACAAATGAAGAGATCAAGAAAGAAGGCTTTACCTCAGTGTGGTTTAATGTCACAACATATGCCAGTATTTTTTTTAATGAGCTACACATCATTCAGCCATTCACTTATGAAATAACTATTACAGATGTTATTCTGATTTCATTATCCTATTTTGCTCATTACCTTTAATATCTAAATAACCATTCCACACATCCTTTTTTTGAAGTATGCATTGTTTAAAGCGAGTGTTAAAACATGCTAATGTTAAAGCCATAAATTACTTAGGCCCCAAATATCTGAAATGCTGCCTCCTTCTCTACAGACCCTCTTGGGTGTTAATATCAGTGGGGGGGGGGAGAGATCTTGGTAGTTCCATTTTAAGTATGCCCCTTTCAATGTGATCCAGGAGACAATACAATTGTAACTGCATAAGCAGCAATAAACAAAAACAAAAAACAAAAACTGGAGCTTGAACCTGGGGACTCTGTATGCCAAACTCCCAAAAACCATATATCAAGTGAGCTTGATCAAGTGGTCTCCTAAATGGCAGACTGGAATAAAGTACAAATCTTGCAGTATTGGGTAAAACCAATTACCTGCATGCATGCTAATTGTGAATAAAATAAATGAATTTAGAACTTGAGACTCACATTTAAAGTCTCTGTACAGTCTTTTGCTAAATGGTCAATTTTCACATTTTCTAAGATGGTAGTAAGAATAGCCAGCCTCACAGGGCCGGGATGAGCATGCTACAATTACAATGTTAAAATATTAGAAAGCATATATAAAGATAAGACACTATTTATGATTGCAGCACTAGGGGGCCTCATTGAATTCCATCATGTACTACTACACTATAAACTGAAATAGAGGTTATATCTTGAAAGCTGCAGCAGATAGCAGCTCATTTAATAGTAAAAACTGTTCCCTTTGACTCGAAGTCCACATTCAAGAAAGCACAAAGTAAGCCCATACCAGCTGCCATCTCATTAAGCAGGGAGCTGCTCTGGGTTGATTTCAATGCCTCTGAAATAATTTGCACTTTTATTAGATTGGAACAGCTACACACTGGGTCCTGGGAAACAACTCCATATTTTATTGGAGAATCTTCAGGAATAGGCAGCTGCAGGAAATTCTGATATTCTAAGAACCAGGTGAACAACTTCAATTACAATCTAAACTGAATACTTGACTCTAATCTTTTGCTTATAATGTGCTTCAGGCAAAATTATTCTGCTCAGTGGTTTGGTTTGCCAACCCACTAGAAAAAAAAATGTATGTGACTTCCTGCATCAATCCCTTAGATGCACAAACACAAAAAGTACCATAAACGAGTACTTTACAATTAGCTTCACTATTTTAAAAGAACCTTTAAAAACCTTGAATAACCGATAGCCAGTTAGTGCAAGCAATATGTATATACGTATCTACATATATACATATACATATACAGGTATGTTTATTCCTTAATTGTTTTGTAGGCTGTACTGTTTTGAAACAGACAGCCTGAAATCTGACCTCTGTGTACACCCAGTCAAGAAGTATCCAAATCTATTGAATTTGTGGTTCGAGGACCCGACCCCGCAAAGTAAAATGCAGACACAGGGACACGTGATATAGGTTAATGGGCTAGAAAGGCCACAACTTTATTGATTACGCAATGGAAGG